GAAATGAATTATAATGATGTGTCTTACTAAATTTAATCTTTCTTTTTTTTCTTTATCTGTTAGGTATGTTCTAAATGTTGCCTAAAACATCATTTGGAAAAGCTCATTTGTGTTTCTATTATAATAATGTGTTATGTGACATTTGTTCAACAAATAAATTGGCCCTTKRCTTGAATCAAGTTTGGAACTTTAGCTCCTTGTGTAAATTACTTTGACACCTCTGCTCTAATCCCTGCATATCTAATTATAGGATTCTATTCTTTTCAGTCTGTAACTGTGACCCTGGATGATATTTGTTTTGTGTGATTTTTGATCATATTGCATAATATTACAATTTTTAATATCAATTTCTATAAATAATATACTGTTCAAATTGTCACAGTTTTTGAAGGTTTTAACTCCAAAACCTCAGATCGACACAGGGAGCTTTCATAAAAACATTATATTACTCTTTATTTAAAAAATGTTGATATGGCAGCAAACTTACAAAYGAACTGAAAAACAAGCACATGGAAGCACAAGAAGTCTCAAGGAGACACTAAAATAAAGGGTATGATGACCCCAGGGCTTAGTAAGAAAACACTAATGCTCTGCTGAGAAACAAGTGAAACTAACRGCATATAAAGACCAGGTCTGATGAGGAAGTGGACACATCAGGGCTGGAGAAAGACTGGAAACAGGTGAGAGTGGGCATGGCAGGAAGGACTGAATGACAAGTGGCACAGAGGAAATACGCACACGGCTCAAATGAAAACATAAGTAACAGAACATAAACATACATAAAAGCACATCAGCAATAATMTGGAATGTGTTTAAAATCTGCTGTGGAAAATTTYCATCACCTTCCAGGTTTTTAAAGTTTTTTTTTTAGTTTGTTTGTGGCCCAGTTTCATCARSACCTTCACTTGTGTTTTGCAGGAGCATCTTCCTCCGTTTGAAGGCCTCTCTCAGAGCGACTATGATGGGATCCATACCTTCTGCTGCTTCCAGGGCTGCCGAGGAGCTCACCTGACGACACAAAAGAAGTTAGTTCAGTTCGTGCTCTATAGAGATATTCCCAGAGGTCGTGTCCGCTTACATCTTTTAAACTTGCACTCCTCAATCTCCCTGCTCTTGGGGAAGGTGGAGTGAAAGACACAGAGTCAGGTGGATTCGTATTCTGAACACATGTATCTTGAGACATCTGCTGAGAGTTGGTGGCTGTTTTAACGGGAGGAACTGGTGGTAAAGGTCCTTTCTGCAGAGCAGCTGTGATGGACGACCCTGACATCCTGGGCAATGTCTTTGAGCCTGTGCCTGCAAAAAAAAAAAAGTCAGAAAAGACTCTGAAATAGAGCCTAACCTATAATTCCTTATAATAAAACAAAAATGCTTTTATAACAAGAAATCCTACTTTTTCTCCTTAACTCTGTCTGCACAGCTTTTAATCCTCCAAACTGTGTGATGATGCAGTCGACAACCTCAGTGACGTCTTTGTTTCTTAAGTCCTCCTCGGAGAGTTTTGCCTGCATCAACAGGCTGATCATGGCCGGGTCCAGGTCTAAAAACTTCAACTGACAGAGAATAGAAATATGCAGCGACACATTTAAACCAGATTTATTTTGTGCTTTTCTCTGTTCAAGCTTTACTTACTGAACTTGTGGTCAGAGGAGCTGTGGAGGGGGTTGGTTCCTCATAGAAGCGTTCACTTTTTGTTTCTCTTTGGATAAAACAGACTTCTTAATAATTCATTCATTTGTTTTATTTTTTAATTTTTCTATAAAGCAGCAATGTTTTTCTTACTTTAAAGTRGGTWGATTGCYGGCTGAAAGGCTYACTACTTYCTTTTTTGTCATGTTGATCATAGTGGTCATCTTTTCTGCAAATTAAAACTTGAGACTTAAAACAATAAAACAACGGGTTCATATTAAGGTATGATTTATGTTGTCATTCTTACGATGAATGGCCTGCACTGCTGAGTAAAATTCCTCTGCCTCTGTTTCATTGGCAAAGTTGAAGCCAACATGACTGGCCTGAGAAAGCAAAGCAAGCTTCTAAAAGTAAACCACATCCAGAGGAAGCACATAAATACTTCWTTTCTGTGATCTTTTAAAGTRCGGTTGGAAATGGAAAGGRCATGAAGMGTTATTATCTTACCTGTTATAGATAACTCTTTGAAYAAACTCATCTTAACCCTGTTCTGTCARCTTGTCAGTCCTGTCAGAATTAAACTCTAAAGACCTACAGTATCTACATAAGGAAAGGTTTTCACAACCTTTCCACAAAACCCCACTTTAAAATATCCGAACTACTCCTTTAAACAAAGTGACTTACTTCTGCAGGGAAAGTGTGGAAGTACGYACAGCTCGCGGTGTACTTGCATGGAATGTACAGTTCCTCCTCCCACAGTAACTTGGCACGCTGCAATTAATTGCGACAGAAAAATAGGAAAATCAGTCCTAAACAGATATTTGTACGTGCACACACACCCGTCCATGGAAACRTATTGTTTGCACAGGAAGCTACAAATTAGAGGCCATACGTGCAGCTGGGCTTGCACGCTCTTATGAAAGTAAACAAAACAATTTGTGCAGAGGGACCGAGCTGTGCACGTTTCACTGTTTTCGGGTGGTTTGAGTGGGCGCAGCAACAAATATTTCAGTTCCTCTTACCGTGACGCAGTAGAGACGTAGGAAGTAGGAGCGGGCGGACTTGTTCTCGACGAGACACACCACTCCACAGTGTAACCGATGCCAGCCTGGGCTCTCTCTGCTGCTGTCTTTGGCCTTCATTATCTGTGCTACGGTTGTTTTAATGAACTAAGACAGAGCAGTAATCATATGGCAAATGTAGCTTAAAGATTAATTGAAAACGATAAAACTAAATGATTTAATGAGATTTWAAAAAAGGAAACCAAGAATGACCATACATACTGTGTTTTATAAATTTTATCATCAATGTCAGTTTCACATTACACAGTTATTCCAGCAATACTATGATATTCCCTTTTTTTAAGCCACTTCAGTAGAAAACAGAACTGAATATTAGTTTCTTTATCATCAGTGATTTTTTTTTACTATGAGATTCTTGCCAGAAGTGTCCCAGGCTGCACTGGAAGTGCTACAGCTAGCTGCTATTAGTACTCGCAAAAAACACAACAACAACAATGGAATCTATGCAAATTACGATGTAAAGATGCAGTGTTCATGTTAATAAAATACTCTGTATGAGCTGCCATGAAACTTTGGAGACTGTTGTCTTAAGACGGTACAATTGATCTTTGTTCTGCTCGGCCTTGGTGTTAGCTCAGGCTGCTCAGTGCTCTGTCTGCAACGTGTTGTAATGTTTTCCACAAAAGTTCACAAAACAGCTGTCAGCGTGTTGTCCTGATTTTCTTGTTTTATTTRACTGTGAGTTCAAAATACTTTTAGTTAAGATTTTCTAGATTAACAATATCAAACAAATGAGCTTGAGAAAATATAATAATCAGTGTAAAAATAAGCTTTGTCATCACGAGATAATGAAATAAACGAATTGTTATCTTCAGATAAAGTCAATGAATAGTGGTTAAAGTTACCCTTGTTTTACACACCTCATACCGAGAGGCTAAAATTATCTCCTGAWTATTATTATTATTATTGATTTATTCTGATGACACAGCTATTTCTCTGTAAAACCAGTTCGTCGGGGAGTTTTATCAGTTTGCTGTCTATCATTTTTGGGCTCACTTMTTTTGTATTGCTTTTACCAAGTCAACGTTACTTGTGTTACTTTTCAAAAATAATCTTATTCACTTTAGCATGAAGCTCTGTAACAAATCGAAAATGTTCAGGGGGAGAACAGGTTTTAAGGTTTTAAATTATGCCAAAAACTTTTTAGATACATTTCTAAAACTCTTATTTTTAACCATTCGAATCCTTCAGATGTATAATCTGTTAGTAGGTTAGAGAAAACATTATGATTTAGGACTTTATTGTAAAACTAAAATAATCAAATATGGTTCAAAAACACCCAGGAATTTTACTGATTTGTTCAGACCTGATAAAATAATTCTATTTGCAGTTATTGGAACAATAAAGCACAACTTTAATGAGCTGAACCTGGTTCATGAATGACACTAATGTAGGACTGATGTTCCATTAGTTTCCACTCCTCCCACTAATGGGTGTTATTAAC